CCATCTGAACCCGACCAGTTCTAGAGGGAAAGGAGAAGTGTCCCTCCCTTCTCTCTGGAACCGACCGGTTCTAGAGGGGAGGGAGAGGTGTAGCCTTGCTGAACACAGTTGACAAGTGCACAAGGAGCATAAGCAATCCAACAGATCAATATTGTTTTAGCTTACCTAAAAACAGTAGTGGGACCGCAAGAGAAGAGACAGATGTTTCGAGGTAGACTGCTGAGGATGTTTTCAAGTCATAATCTGGTGGTTGAATTGAAGGATGGTTTCATCGATGGACAAGGCTGGGATGACTGGGTTGCTAAGTTTGAGGTTCTCTTAGGTGTGCCATGCGGTGACAGAGGTTGTTGGTTGTCTGGAGTGTTACCACATGGCAGTCTGAGGAATGACGACAGAAGGCTGAAATTCTGGGCTAAGGACTACTGGCAAGAGTCAACTGCTGCTATATAAGAGAGGGCTTCAAGCTGTTAGGAAGCTTCTTCAGGTGTCGAGGTTGTTGTAATTCCAATGACCAAGATGTCCTCATCCCCCTCCACTGTTGCACTTGCACAGTCTGAGGGGCTAACAAGCTGGCCCCCCACTTGTCCTCTGCCTTTGCAGTTGGATGGGGGCCTTCATGCCCAGAGGTTTTGACCCATGCAAGACATGGGCTGGCCTCTGAGTCCAAGTGCTCCAGCTTTGCTGGTGTTGGGGGGCCATTTTTTCTTCTCACTTTTTTTGTAAAAAATTATTGTCTTTAGCTTTAAGTCATGTCTTTTTTTTCTATTTTTTGTTAGAAGGGCAAACCTTTGAGTTTTTTTGCATTTTACCCATTTGTAAGGGGAAACCCTTGATTTTTTTTTCTGTAAATCACTGACTTTAATATACTTGGATAATAATCATCTTTACTAAAGTATTTGAGATTAGGATGTGCCATGGTGTCATCAAGCATCTATGATAAATAGGCAAAGAAGCAATTCAACCTGTCAACTTGTCAAGCTTATGTGCCAGATTAGCTTCAGTGATAGCTCACTCACAGACCTCAATGGACATGGCAAAATTGGCCCATGAGAAAATTATCAAAAACAAAAAATTAAAATTAAAAATGACAAAAAAAAAGTGTTGCCATATTTACACCAATTATTTTTGCTGAATCCAATCACATTTGACATAATACTGTTGTAAATAATACATACATGCCAATTTTCCCCAAGTTGGCTGGCCAAGATACATAGATTCTGCAGCAGGAAATTTGGTGTGTGAAAATTGGCTGCACCACCTTTCCGGGTAGGAATTATGCTTTGTGGACTGTGTTCAGTTTGCCAAGTGGACTGAGAAAACCTGCTATGTAGGACCCGCTTGCCTGACAGGCTTGAGGTTATCTGGACACCAGGAAGAATCCTACTCAGTGAAAACAAAATACATCTTGTACCGTATCCCTGAGGAGGGATTTTATTCTTACCTTAGACACTGCTTGCTGTGGAATATTCCTTTGCAAGCAAGCTCAAGTTCAGGGGTTGATAACCGCACGCCATCCCCCCTTGCGCATGCCAAACCGCACACCATCTGCAGATTGGTGTGTGGGCTTGCACACCAAATATATGCAGTTCTAAACGCATATACATATGCATTTAGGACCTGGTCTGTCCCATAGGACCCAGGCATGGGTCCTATGTACAAAAATATGGATTTTTTTTCAAAAAAAAGAAGAAAAAAAAACTGGCCCCTCATGGCCTAGAGAGGCCAAGGTCACACCGCTGGGAGGAACCCCTCCCAGCAAGCATGCCAGCTAAAGGTGTAACCCAAACAGCCCCACCTGGGTGTTTTCACGGGTGGTGCCACCCGGGTGTCGGTCCTCAGGATGTGTCTCCGGAACCACCCAAACACCCAGGTGGTTGTGCATTATAGGATGGGGGCAGGAAAGAGCTTTTTGCGGCTCCGACTGGATGCTGTATAGTGTGGTGAATTACCTGTGTAGGTCTGGGGGAGGAGTGAAGTAGACAAGAGCAGTCTTAAGTGAATCATTATTCAGCTGGACATAGAAACAGATAATGTTCAGTTGCTCATGAATAAATCTTTGTAACAAAACAAGGTGACTCACTTTTGGCACGAACTTGGAATTCTTAGCCCATTTCTCTATATCAATCTGTGAATTCCCAGCTTTTTTCACAAGTGCCGAATTGTAAAGGCCGTGGACGTTCCTCAGATGTTCATGGAAGTTTTTGGTGCTGGAACTTTTATCTCTCTTGATCGGAACCCCACAAAGCTTGCCATTCTTTCGAACAACTTGGCATATGGCTTCTGTATCTTGTGGTTTGAAGTGATTCCAAACCCAACTTCATCGTTTTTGTTGATTAGACTGTTTTGGGTTATCTTTGTCACTTCCCTCGTTGTCAATTTCAATGATTTTTTCAAGAGTTGGATCTGGGGGGGGGGGGGTTGAGCTAGATTTTGCTTCCTCTTCATGATGCTGGAATCAGGGATCTGGAGGGTTAAATGAGGAAGGCAGTACTTGTAGGCTATTCCTCCTTGGACACTCCCCTGAAGTCACTCAAAAAAAAAGACGGGTGGACCCGGGTCCACCTGATCAAACTCGGATACGGGCGTCGGGATTGCCTTGACACCCCGCCCAAACACCCGGGTCACACCTTTAGTGCCAGCGCCGGTCTCTTGTGTGACCTGGCGTTGATGGGGTAATGGGTCTTACTATAGCCTTGTAAGGCCAGTAGAAATAGAACCTCACCTCAACGCTAGAAAGCGGAGGGGTTAGCTCCCTGGGTTAGAGGGGAAACACTTGGAATGAGCTTCGAGGTGCCAAGCTCAGAGTACTTAATACTCTCTTCTAGGCTACAGTAGTGAATTTACTGTAGTCTAGTAATGGGAAGAAGAGGTTTTTGAGGTAGGAAGAAGGTTGTAATAATTTGTACTAGATTATAAAAATACCCACTCACTTAATTGAAGTAAGGATAACAGGTTTGTATGGCAATAATCTCTGGGGTGAGGAATCCTAGAGGGAAAGCCTTCCCCTTAAGTATTGAAAGGCAGGGTTAAGGCTGCCTGTTGGAACGGACAGGTCCACAGATGATCATTTATGCATTTAAATCATAAATGATTGAAATATGTATTTAAATTATGATCACACCAAAAGTGGAGGAAATGACATCATCTCTCTCTCTCTGGGTGAGTCAATACAGAGAGAGATAAATAATTAAATCCTCATTGGTAATCATCTCTCTCATTACAGCAGATAATCAAGAGAGAGATGACTAAGCTTTTAATACATATGTATAATATCTATTTATTACATAAGTATAGAATAAGATACCAACTACACTGGGACTCAGGTACATCCATCAACATATAACTCATCCTTTGAAGGGGTCATTGAACCACTAAACTAAATCAACTCATGGAAATATGAGCCAATGCAGACATTTGGACATGTCCTACATGTCTTGTGGCTGACAAAGCGTCTACATGCCAGCTCTTTGGGATGGGGTCCTCTGGTGGGAGGAAACCATCCCAAGGACTCCCAGCAAGCTAGTTTTCAAACCAGCTCGTCGGAAGGAATCCCTTCTGACAAGCTGGTAGACAATGGCAAAGACAACCCATTCTCCGCCGCCAGTCCGGCGATCTCTAACCTGTTGCCGCTTGGCAATTGGCCAAGCTTCAGCCAATCCAACTCCCTCAACCACGGAAACTTTGGAGGCCTGCTTTCTCCTGCTAGCAATCAATTGTCACCTATCATTGGACCCTCATCCGGGCCCTCTTTGTCCACCGGCAGTGACAACAATTGGGCAACGGTGATCCCTGATCAGCTGTTGGAGGAAAAGCAAGACATTCCTGATGTTGACCAGTCTGCCGGCCCGGAACAACCAGCGGCCCCCTTACCTCCCTCACTTACCGCTCAGGATACACTTGCATCTCCTTCAAAGACAGCGAGCTGTTTTACAAACCAGCTCGCAGGGAGGAACCCTTCCCAACAAGCTGGTGAACATACCAGCTCATCAGAAGGGATTCCTTCTGACAAGCTGGTTTGAAAACTAGCTTGCCGGGAGGAACCCCTCCCAACAAGCTGGTTTGAAAACTAGCTTGCCGGGAGGAGCCCCTCCCAACAAGCTGGTTTGGAAACCAGCTTGTGTTGAGCTATGCACATTTCCATATTCATTTCCCATCTGCTTTACACATGTATTTCAAATTTCACAGTTTTCTTTGTACACCTGGAACAGCGGTCGTGGAAGGTTTCTTTCCTCATCCTTCCACGAACCACGTCACTCCCCCACCTTGTGCCGCTGTTTCCAGGTATAGTAGTCTCATTGTTCTCTTTATCTCTTTTCTTCTCTATCTGTGTGAAATGATAAATCCTTCCACGAACCACGTCACTCACCCCACCTTGTGCCACTGTTTCCAGATATCTCCAGCTTATCAGCTTGCCGGGAGGAACCCCTCCCAATGAGCTGGTTTGGAAACCAGCTTGCCAGGAGGAACCCCTCCTGAAGAGCTGGTTTGGAAACCAGCTTGCCAGGAGGAACCCCTCCCAACAAGCTGGCATGTAGACTTCCTCCCAGCAGTGTGACCATGGCCTCTCTAGGCCAAGAGGGACCAGTTTTTTTTTGAAAAAAAAATCCATACATAGGACCACCCTGGGGCCGTCCCATAGGAACCATGCCTGGGTTGTATGGGTTGGCCACAGTCCTCAATGCATATACATATGCATTTAGGATCACATATCTTTGTTGTGCAAGCCCACACACCTATGCAGATTGGTGTGCAGGCAGGCATACCAACCTGCAGGGTGATACCCCCCGCAAGCAATTGATGTGCATGCCTGCACACCAATCTGTGGATGGTCTGCGCAAGGGGGGATGGTGTGCCATTATCATGCCCCGCTTTTGACATGAGCTATCAAAACATTTGATGGTGACAATTGGCACAATGATCAGAGTTGATTGAACAAGAGCAGGGTGGCAATCATTGCATAGTTTTTTTGCTGCTACCTTGCTTAGCAATTATGTTACAAGATCTGCAATCCAATGTTTGTTTGCATTATGATTGAGTAGTGGTCTGGTTATTTGAACTTTGATTTCTAATGTAGGAAACAGAATCCCAATATTGTAATTGGTGTTGTTGGTGGGGAAACAATTCTGTGCATCCTAGTTGTTGAGTCCTCTGACAGCTTCAACAACCATCATCTGTTGCTTGTGTGCTTGCAAGCACTTCCAAACTGCACATAATTTTGAGATAGTGTACTACTATCCCTATAGTGTGGTATGCTTCTACTCTTTACACCCAAAAATCAGCCTGTATTCTGTATCTATTCAGTCTATTTTTTTCTCTTGATTGTCCTGCTTCCTTGCTGAATGATGATTACACTTTGACTCAATGTGCTTGGACCATGTCCTTGACCTCTTGTAAACTGTCGTAGCTCTTGTGTCACCCTAGTTATCCTCAACACATGATGGTCACAAGTGCAGCTCCTCAGTATCCTTCTGTAGCAATTGTGTGTGTAAGAGCATCCACATCAGTTGATTGGATTGGTGAGGATTAGCAACCTCTTTAATCCCAGGATTAGTGGGGTATAAATTTAATCCCTGTTAGCTCCAAAACTGACCCTGGAGCTAACTTAATCCAACCTCTAATCCCCACTTATATGGTCGGGAGGATTAGATTAGGCAGCTAATCCTGCCTAATCTGCACAACGATGTGGATGCTCTAAGTGTACATTATCGAGTACAATTGGATTTTGGGATTAGTGAACAAGTTGATTGTAAACTAGAATATCACATTTTCCCTTTTTAGTTTCATGTAAAATACTAGTTGTTGAAATTCCAAAACAAGCCAATAAGATACTTACATGAGAGCTTAGAAGTGGTCTTAGTTGCCTTAATACCTGTTGAAATTTTGAACTAAAGCGCGGAAGATGTTGAGGGCGAAAAAAGGGAGGATCTTATTTTGGGAAGGGCTCACAGAAAAATAATGTAAGAGCCAATAATTTTCATTCACTGCAGTTAGCCATGCATAAATAGACTAAGTCAAGAGGTCAAATTGTGGTTTTTGAAAATGAATGGAGAAAAGTATTTTGAATAAAAAAATTTGAAAAAATAAAAATAAGTTCTCATAAAATAACCAACTAGACAGTACTTCTCATTCTCTTGTAGTAAATCCAGATGAGCTAGTCAAGAGAAAATATTCAAGAGGCATTAATTCTTGTTAACCAATTTTTTAATATCACACAATAAGTTAGGAAAAGGAGAAAATATTACCATAGAGACAAGAACAATTGGGTTGATATTATTAAGGTTCATATTTGACTTAGAAGAGACTCAGAAAACAACTAAGAACATGCTACTTGGCTATATTAATCAAGTCTGTTTTAAGGTGTGTAGAAAAGAGAAAGGGCAGAGAGAGAAAAAGATACATGAAAATTCAACAAAGAAGTGCCATCAACTCTGCAGAGTATCCATTGGCCATTGCCTTGGCACGGCACTGAAACTTGTTGCTTGTTTGCTTTGAAAAGCTGTCCTCAACCCAAGCTTGCATCCATTGATAATTGGACTCAAATATTTCAACAAAGATCTTGATGACTTGGTTGATGATTGATCTGCCCCTGTTCATTGGAAGATATATACTTGGACTTTAAGACTCAAGGCCATGCTTCCTTGTAGTTGTTTGTATGAATTCCCTGATGTGCAGTCTGACACATTGATTTTCAGTTGACTGAAGTACATAAATTGGTTTTGTGGGCATGGTGACTCACAGTGCAAAAGTAGACGGACCAGTACTTTATCCTTGTTCCCCACTGGCTGTAGACGTAGCTTGCAAATCTAGGGCTGACTTTGTTCCACTTGAATAAGAAGTGATTCAAAAGTAGGATTGGATCCACATGACTGTACACAACCAAACAGAATTCGTTGAGAGCTTCATTGAACCGGTCCTGCACATGTGTGTTTTTCTGGCCTTTAAATGCCTTCAAGACATGGACCCCCTTTGGTGCTTGTTCCCCCATGTCCTGATAGACATGGGGACACTGCATTGGAAATAGACAAAGCACAATCACTCATGACTGATTGAGGCAGAGAGACCATGCTGGTGGTGTCTCAAATCCATTGGAGGACTGATTCAAGTGGTTCCTGGTGAAGGAAGCTCTTATTAACTTGTGAATGTGATGTGTAAGAAATCAAAAATGACTCACTCTGCAGCGGAGGCAGTAAAGGCCCAAGAAATTGGGAGGCCTTTGCCAATGATAGTGTTTGAAATCAAGAAAGTGTACAGACCAACTTTCTTGCCACTGGACAGGAAGTGGTTACTGACCAAGTTGTGTGTAGCATCAAGCATTAGCATTCTCTTCCATGTTTGATTAGCATCTGTTTTTTCCAAGGTGACTGGAGTGAAAAGATTAAATCAGCAATCAACACTGTTGACATGTGTATTCCAGTTCCTGGAAATCAGATTGCTTTGCCAAAATGATAGCGACTGGAGAGGATCACGATTGAGTTGAGAAGGGATTGTCCTCTAAGTGTGTACCAGGTATCAAACTTGGTCATAAGTGACACCATGCACCTCTGGCTTGACAGTAGACAACCTAATCTGAGAAGCGGTGGAAAGTTTGGTTAGTTTCTATTAGGTGACATGAAAATTCAAGAGATTAACAGTACTTACATCCAACACATCATCAACCTGGGTGAGATCATAGATTTTTTGCCACTTAAGACCCGGGTCAACTTGGTCCTTAAGCCACTGATCAACCACAAGAGGTGGACGGGTGATAAAAATCTTTTGATGGGAATTAAGCTTGTGGTTGTGTTGCCAGTTCCACACAACTTAGTCTTGGAGGGAATTGGATTGAATGTGGGTGAGTGACTGAGAAATGAGCCTTGCACCCACACTGAGCTGATATGTGATTGCTCTTGTGCCAGTTGGGAGCACATTTTCAATATCCACTGCTTGGACACTGGTACTTGAGCTTGAAGAAAGCCTACATACAGTGGCCACTGCCTTGCAATTTGCTAAACTTCTCAGATCGAGTCAGGGTACCTCTCTGGAGAAACCATTGAACTGTTGAGGTCATTGCTTTTCCAAATACCTTGGCCTCCAACTTTGAGCTTCCTGGGAGTTTGAAAAGAAAATGGTGAGTTGAAAAGGCTGGGTTGGTGCTTCCAATGTTTTTAACTAATATAAGGGCATGTGGAACTGATGAGACTTTGACAGGGGTGGGTACCCCTTGGGTATGTGGGCTTGGAGCAACATTGTAGATGTCCTGGACTAGGGGGTAAGTGAAGGAAGTGGGGTTGATGGTAGCTTGGGCCATGGATGTGACTAGGATTCAAAGCAGGAAATATTGAAAGAGTAATTTATGTAGAGTAATGTAAGGTGAAAATACAAACACAATTGAAGATATGATAAAAGAATCAAGCTAGGATTAAGTGATAAGGATCAATTCAAGAAAAAGTGAAGTAGTAATTTATGCAAAGCAAGCACAATTAAAGATATGATGGAAGAAGCACGGTAGGATTGAATTACCAGGATGATTATTTGAGCCAAGGAAGAACAAAAAGCCAGGCAAAAGCTGGGTAAACCTGTAACTGAGGGAACACAGAATGGGTGAATTCTCAAGTTCAGAATTTTTTATACTTGAAAGGTAAAGCAAAGAAAATTAATTTGTAGTGATAAAATTATGATTGATGCAATGGAAATTAACGGAAAAATGTGCAAAATAGGGGGTGATGTGAGAATCAGCCAGCTGCCAGGGGGGATGGGGTGGTCATTATAAGGAAATCTTCTCCTTGGTAAGTCATTCACTTGATTGAAGTTTACATGAGATTTAACTGTGGGACACTGATGGAGTCAGGAAGGTAATCCCAATCCCATGCACTCATCATTCCCATCCAGTGACAACCAAAAGTCTTTATGTCATTTTCTTCTTTTGGATTCTTCATTTTGAAATATGGGTGTGTGGGTCAATCCCTCAACAAACCGTCAATCATGTTGGACAATTCAATTCTTGCTCCAGTTGGTGGCATCATGGTTCACCCTTGTGGCCAGTTAAGGCTAATTTTCCATTTCCCAATGAACTATATTCCTAATCAGCCTCATGTCACCGTCTCAGAAAGTGGAGCTTCAACACTGCATGATCATTCACGGTTCTTTGTTGGATTTACAAATTTTTGCTTTCTTCTCTCTACATACATTGGATATTTCAGAATTTGATACTTTCACAAGCATATTTGATTCACTGCAATCAGTGGATCAGTTTTTTTTTTAAAAAAAAATAAACTCCGTGCATTTCTTAATTGTCTTGAAGTTCAAGAATAGCTCGTAAGAGTAGTGTGCATAAAGTAACCAGAATATCCAAGGAATCTCGACCGTTTGGTTTTGATCACATGGGCTTGGAATTCAAATGAAATAAAAATAACAGTCTTTGATGGAATGGTGTTTCGGACTCCTCATGGTGGGCTACATGTGAGGAAAAGGACTTGATGAGTGTGTGGGTAACCAAAATTGGACAAACTCATACGGATATCCAATGACTAATCACGTACCATCCTGGACATTGATCCTATCGGTTGCCGCCGTATTTCAAGCCCGACTATAGAGAGGATGAGATAAAAATCAAATCATGATACGAATGCCGGGTGCGGATATGGTGGCCGACTGACCGTACTTTCCAGCCGAGGTATCTAATGGCAACCAGGGCGCGAGGGAATCCCTAACGGCAGAGTAGTTTGATCAGCTATAATTAGCTATGAAAGAATGAGAAGAAAAGGCGAGGACTTACATTGACCGTGAAAACAACACTTTTCCCGGGTTATTCGCCCCACTTTACTGCAATCAACTAAGAAGGGCATGTAGAGAGAGTCTTTAGCATCCATCCCGGAAGCTGTTGGGTCAGCCTAGGAACAATAAACTGATCACAACTGCCTCACAGATGGGTGTCAATGAGTAATCATCCGGAGCACAACCGGCAAGCTTGAAAGTGCCAATCAACAGAATAATAAGACTGTTATAAAGACCAAGAGACAACATGATAGGAATGATCTTTTGATGTTTATTGGGATTGAAGAGAGTAGGCAAAAGCAGATTGTGATATGGATTCCTTGTGGAAGCGGTGGGGCTCAACTTGATGGCTGCTGTTGGCAGGTTTTATGTTCGGTGGATCACTTGGGACCCTACATAGTCATACCTACACTTCCAGACACTCGAAATTCAACAGTGTGGCTGGATTGGCCAATCGCACGTACATAGGATCAATGCTGTGCAAGGCTGTTTGCTTGGGTCATGATGTACTCGCTGGGATACATCTGAGTGGCTGAGGCTGATTAGTTTTAACTTTTCAAGGAGCTTCCCAACACGATATGTTGTGATTTTTGCAAGTTGCTTCTCTTGTTCGTCCCAGATATGTATACGGTTATATGGTGCCACCGCTAGCGCCGCCGGACCTCATCCTCCGGTCCTCCAGTCGGCATCACGGTTCACCCAATGCTTGTGGCCAGTCAAGGCTCATTTTCCATTTCCTGATGAACTATATTCCTAATCAGCCTCAGGTCACCGCCGCAGGAAGTGGAGCTTCACTGCGTGATCATTCATTGTTCTTCGTTGGATTCACGTAATTTGCTTCTGCCCATGGGCAGGTATTTCTATCTCAGATTTCACATTCTGGGACTCGCGCGTAGCCGAACAGGCCCTAAATAAATATGTCTGTGTACCGTTATACGGTGCCGCCGCTAGCGCCCCCGGACCTCATCCTTTGGTCCTCCAGTCGGCATCACGGTTCACCCAAGGCTTGTGGGCAATTAAGGCTCATTTGAGCAATCCAGGATTTGATGCTTTCACAAGCATATTTGATTGACTACAATCAATGGTCTACTCGAATTTTTGAGACATTGTGAACCTGCTACTTATCATCAGTTATATTTTTCGTTATAAAATCCATCTTTTCTTAAATCCAAGAATAGGTAGTAAGAGCATGATGATATCAAGTATCTAAGGAATTTCAAAGATTCGTTTTTTCTCATAGGATTGGATACAAATAAATAGGGATAAGAGTCTGATATGTCTGTAGGCCTTTGGATTCGTCTTTCAGCTCCAAGTCATGTCGGGCTACAGGAGAAAAGGGTTTGATTAGCGTGTGGATATCTAAAAATCGAGTAAACATCAGAAGGAATGATATTCAATCACTAATCACGTACCATTCTTGAGATTTTTCACCTATGGGTTTCCGCCGTACTTTGATCCTGAGAGGACATGCAATTCCAATCAGGATACAATTGCCCAAGTGAGGACATTGCAAACAACTCACAATACTTTCCAGAGGTAACTAATAGCAACCGTCGACCTCGGAATCCCCTAACGATGCAGTCGTTCTATCAGCAAGCTGTGAATAGTGAACGCGAAGAGATGTGAAGACTTACAACGGCCGTGATAACAACACTTTGCCTTTATCGCTGCCGACACTGTATTGCAATCTAATAAGGAGGTTATCGAGCTCGTCAGGACCAGGCCGGAAGCCGCTGGGTCAATATAGAATAAAGATGATGAAACTTGGAGAACAACTATCTCACTTCTTTTTACTTCTGAGCTTGAGTGGCAGTTTTTACCGCTCCCAGTTTCATGGCAACCCGGAGTTGAACTGGCGAGCTTGAAAGTGCAAATCAACAGGATAATAAGACTGTCATAAAGACCAAAAGCCCACATGACACCAATGATTTTTGATTTTTAGATGGCTATCGGTATTTAAGCAATTAGTCAAAGCAGATTGTGATGTCAACTCCTGGGCAGTGATGGGGCTCAACTTGATGCCTGATGCTCGCGATATTTATGTATGTCGGTTTCTGTGCACTGGGAATTTGTCAGTGTGGCTGGATCTGCCAATGGTATACACTGCATCGATAGTGGCATAGCCTCAATGCTGTTTGAGCCTGTTTGCCTGATACATTTGAGTGGATGTGGCTGATTGGGATTGACTGTTAAGCAGCTGAAGACCATGCTGTTGTGATCTGTTGTGATTTTTGGAAGTTGCTTAAAATCGTAAGCAGGGACCATATCATCCGGTGTGCTCAGCATCACTCAAATCTTATGGCTTGTCTGATGAACTTTGATTGCCTATTCAGCCTCAAGGGTCACTGCCTCAGAAAATCAGGTTTCACTGCGTGATAATTCATTGTTCTTTGTTACATTAATTTTTGATTCTGTGTATGTGAGCAAATCATTATGAGTCGGTTGCTGAGAAATGTGCTCGGTTTACTACAATCAGTTAGAATCCTTCCTCTAGTTTTTTTTTTTTTGGTGAGACTCGTGTTTGGAAAAAATGAGAAGGGAGAACATCATATCTGCAAGCTGGAATCAATCAGGATCGAGTAAAGTCATGCGTCAAAATGGAAAATGTCCTTGATCATCATAGTCATCCTCAACTTCAAGAGACTGGTCGAATGAAAAGAAATTAAGACGGGCATGAAAGATGGCTTTTCCGAGGGAGAGATAAATACTTTTTTTTTCAACTTCTTTATTTATGATTCATGTTTGAATACGGGATTAGGAAACGTGAAGTACTTGAGGGTACCCTTACGATCAACATCAGATGTTCAGCGGAGGTGGCTCCAACAGATGGATGCTGACAGTCGCCTGATGAGTCAGTGCGCGAGCGTGATGGATAACGGTCTTGGCAAAGCATCCGAGCCGCTCGGCGCGGACAGTAAGACGACTTGCTCCCACACGATGTATATCAGGGATGGACTGATTGATCTGGCTGGTCGAGTCGGAGATATGCAGGGCAGCAAGTGCTTCGCTGAGCAATGGAATCGATTGCTCGCCGACCACCTGTTGGATATTTGTGTGATCCACAAAGCTCTCACTCGTCTGCATGTTGTCTAGCCAGCAGCACATCGCATGTTTCCGAGCCGCCTGCGCCCATTCTTCTGAGCTTCTCGCCGTCCATATTTCTTCATGACAAGGCAACGGCAGGTTAGTCTCCGATAGTCTCAGCCCAGACTCGTAGGGCCCCCTCAGTTGAAGTGCAGAAATCAGAACCAAAAACGCAGTCCTATCAAGTGATCCGGCGCATCAGTTTAAGTTTGAATACAAGCATCCTAAAATCTTTTCTAGACCTTACCGCTTTTGCACTTCGTACTCCACCCATAATTTCCATGCAACTTCCAGTGGGACTTGACCGGATAGGGCAAGCTGTACATAATCCGGAGAATTGCGTAAAGTCTCAATGAAAGCTAGCTCCCTGAAGTTCTGTAATCATCATGCGTCAAAAACGTCCATCATCAGTGATTGCGCTTTTCTCCAGTATGCTTATCAGAACTCTAGTTGATATACCTGTACAATGGTCGGGCTGAATCTGATGGCACGTTGCCTTGAACCTCCAAGCGACTAAACATGCCGAGAAACTGATAAGTGAGTAAAGATTGCAGAAGCTCAAACCTAAAAGTGAAACTTCGGTCTCGACGTAACTGAGAAGCGAAATGGAAAAGATAAGCGAAGGAGAGGAGAAAATTAATTCAAATCATGGCCAATCAATTTTTAAAAAATGAATTCAAATCCGAAGAACTCACGAAGTCATTTTGCACCGAAATACGCTTGTAGGATAAGGACTGATAGGTGAAAGCCAAGGCGTGCTCTGAACTTTCCAATGCCGCTCCGGAGACGCTGAGGGCGTACCCCAAGTGAATGGAGATTTGTCTAGCATGAAAAGATTCGCGTCAATTTTCCGTGATGAGGAGTTCGAAGAAGTTTGTTTTTTTTGTAAGGTGTTTTGCTATTATTCTTCAACTACTTACGTGGCTCTCAGGGTTGGGACGTGGAACATGGGAATTACTGGACACATGACTTCGGTAGCTCGCGATAGGTATGCCGAAAGGCTCCCCATGTGGGGGATCGTGAAACCTTGCGACTTTTGACACAAGAATGCAAGTATCCAAATGCTCGGGTTGAGATAGAATGGCGACGATTGGGGAACATCACTGATCAGGAAACTAGGATCGGAAAACCTGACCAGGGGGACAATCGAAGTGCCCACATCGGATGAAACTTCGGGAATGTTTTCGATTTCTCTCTGGTTGGTATTCTCCCTCGCAACATCGTAAAATTCTTGATCATCTGGTGGAACGAGAGAGCTGAGCCCCTCCTCAGCCGTGCAATTAAGGCTGAATTGGCGTAGCGTTGTGCCTGGGCCGAAGTTATCCGCCTCCTGGGAGATCAGGCCATCAGGTCTCGGAAGCGAGAAACGGGTGTCACGCGCCAAATCGGCACGAAAGGAAGAAGCTTGTGCCAGATGGTCCGTAGGGTGGTTGGTATTGGCAGTAAAAGGCGCCTGATCCGAGATAGCTTGCTGGTACGTGGGTGGCTGGTTATCATCGCTAGAGTGGTCAGAGGCCTTAATGATACTGGAATGATTGACAGAAGTCACAACAGATGAAGCCGAAGTATCATCCAAGTTGTACTTCGAACTAGCGCCGATGGATTCTTTAGCTTGGCTGCACTTGCGCTTGTGTCGAGTCAGCAGATCACTTCGCGCGTATGAAACGCCGCACTGGCAACTCCAGGGGCGAGCTCCAAGATGCTTCACCCGTCGGTGGCGAGTGACATACTCCAGCTGTTGATGGGAAAGAAAGGGGAAGAGAACATCGTGAACTCAAAGTTTACAATGGCGAGCAGAGTTGTAGACACGGTCAGGGAAATCTGTATTCTTTCCCTCAACCCTCTTGAGCATTGATATGCAACTTTATCTGCCTCCACTTCCTCCACTCATTCCTCGCGAGCATCAAGATTGCGAGATCGTGCAGAGGATGTGGAGGGTGTGTCTGAATGTCACCAAGGAGGTTTGAAAGGGAACAATCGTAAATAAGGGTCTGGAGCTTTACACTGACCCTAGAAAAAGTTTTGGGACATCTGAAAGTTCAATTCGCAATTCAAGATAGGGGCAACACAGGAAAGCTGTCAGCGCCATCTGAAGCAGAAAAACACGCGGACATCCACCTGAAGAGATTCATGGATACTCGGCACGATTGATCGAGCCCGAGTGGGAGCCGAGGCGAACGGTTGAATGCATCACTTGGAGAAGAATCACTCACTCCGGACATTTGTGTACACCAGTTTTATGGACCATGCTCAGCGGATGCTTCAGCAGAATGAAGCGAGATAGAGCTTGGTTATAGTGCAAGAATAGCCCGATGTGGATCAAGAGTCAAAGCTTAAACGCGGAATGTGTGCCGGTCTGCAGCAAAAGGCCAGGAGAGAAAGATGCTGTTGAGAGGGGCGGATGGGGCTTGCGTATGATGGAGGCTCGAGTGGGTTGTGTGGAGGAAGCTGGAACTGGGATGGAAACAGAAAACCGATCTGTGTGCTGAGACTGCGATCGCCCGTTACATGGAAATAGGGACTCTTTCGTGCACTTTGGGGATTACATGTTCAAGCTATCACCCTAGATCACCAGCGAAGCAGAACCGTAAAGCGTGCATATCCGAAATCAGACCGGATGACAACAAACAAACAACAAGTTGGAAGAAGAAGAAGAGCCCGGGACGAAAAGACCTCAAGACTCGAGCGAAGTCCATAGATCAGCTAATAACATATGACGCACGAATAAACAATAATTGCCGGGCGCAGCTTGCGGCTGGGGATCATGGAACTCCACAATTCCTCCGACCAACTGCAGAGATTCAGATCGATCGCGCAAGCAGGCTATGAGGACTTAATATGAAGTCAATGTATTAAAATGTACTGAGTTTGACTCTTGCAAATCAAAGTTCGATAATTGAAACCCACGCAACTCGGTCCAACCTTTAGATAAGCTTGCGCAGAAGCTGGATCTTCAAAAAAAAAAATCATGGGCAGTGCACAAGACTTATGACTGGATCGGCATTGCTGGGTAGAGCACTCCGGTTCATGATCCGTAGGAAATGAAAGGTTAGCTTACGGTTGCCCACTTGTCGCCTCTCCTTCAGCTTCTCGAGCATGCGATATTGAGATGCCTTGAGGGAGTCATCTTCTGATGACCAATTTACCTTGAGAAAGAATCTTCTCAATTCTTCACAGCTAAAGCATTCATAGCTTGAAGCACACATAAGCTGGAGGGGCATATGGAAGATTCATCTGCTACTATTCCAATGTGCCCATAAGGGTATCCCATTCTTTGTGAAGGTGTTCATTATTAAAAAAAAAAAAACTAGGCCTGCACAGTATGGATCAACTGCAAGTCTGGCACACTGGAAGACTATGAAAGGATTGCAGTCTGGACTCTGGAGGAGTGCCTATCAGTCTCCATCTTAACCCACCCTGGGCACAAATGTAATTGGGTGCCTCCCAGGAGTTGTGAAGTAACTCTGCAAGGAAGAGACTTGGGACACAATTTCTGTGAACAGAATCTTATTTACAAAGGCAATTTTCTAACAACATCCCAGCTAAATTCAATTTTCAAAATTAGAGTTCTGGGTAGCCAAGAGGCAGGACTGCATGTTCTGAACCTGTGTGATTTGATCAATAGTTTTTTACCAATCAGCCAAGGAGGAAACCTCCTTTGGCTGATCAGTAGTTTTGTACCAACCAACCAAGGAAAAGCTCCAATTCTTGGGATTTGTTTGACATTATACCTCTCAGCTGTGCAAGTCATTGACTGTGCCAACCACTTTTCCCAATCTCCCACAAATACAAGTCAACAGCCTGGGAGATTGGAAATATAAACCATCTCTCTCCACTATTCCTCAGCAGTCTCTGTCTCCCAACTTGACAACTCAATTTGATTTTAACTTCCATCTTCAAACTCTACCACCAACTTACACTACAGGGGCACTTCTAAGGTTTGGCTTCAAAAAAATTGCAAAACTTATCAACTTTGCAAGTTTGACAAAACTTTTGCAAAAAATTTCAAAACTTTTACAAAAGTTCCATACACAAAACAACGAGCAACCCAAGACTTTCACAAACCCTTCTGCATGGGATCACACAATTCACCTGGACCAAGGTCCCCAATGTAGGCACAGGTTGTGCAACTATTCCAAAACAATTTCACAAAAGTTGCAAAATCCAGTGCCCACAGTGTAGCCCACATTGCTCAGACACCACTCTTGATTCAACCATCTCCATCTTGCCAAAAACTCCTGTATTCATTCCTCACTCACTTTGGTTGTTTCTTTTTCTCATCTTGTTTTATTTTCAATCTCATTGTCATCAACATCATACCATCTCATCCAAAACTCAAAACTCAAACTGACTCATTGCACCAACTTAATCTCTAGACCTTCTCTCTAACTGGCTATTGCCAGAAAACAATCAACCCAAATTTAATCCTCAAATCAAATCAAATATTAATGTTTATCCTTTTTAACATCTTTTCTTTTTTTTCTAGTGGATCTACTCTTTACCTTTTTTGGTATTATATATTTCAGCCAATCAGTCCTATTTATATATATTGTTGCACAATTTTGCTTTTCTTTCTCTATTTTTGAACATGTTTATCTTTTATTTTTCTAATATTGTGTCTGTTGGAATTTCCACCTTATCTCACTCTCTACACTCTATTTTCACTCTATCCCACTCTTTCCGCTCCTTTCTCTTCACTTCTGTATCTCTCTTGTTTCTCTCTCTTCTCTTTTCCCCTTCTCAACCATTCAGCCTGCCTCAGCCTCACACCTCTCAATTCTGTCGCAGCCTCACAACTCCTTCTCAAACTTGCCGCAACTCATTGACTAACCTAACACAACCACAGGCTGAAACTCACATCAATCAGTATAAATAACGGAACCAATGTCCCTTCTCCCACTTCTTTCCTCAGCAGTCTCTGACACCTTGACTTTGAACCAAACTTCTAACATCCTTCCTATCACCTCAACTGCTCAGCTTATACTCAACACCTCTTCTAACCACCACCATCTCCATCTACAATTCCTCTCTTTGTCTTGTCCCAAATTTGTTTTTTCTCCTCCCTCTTTCTCCATATTCTTTCTCTCATCTCCCTTCTCGCTCACTCTCACCAGCATCAACTACATTTCATCTCAAGCTCATTACAGCCTCCTTTCATCCTTATTCTGCCAACTATCTCTCTTGAAATACTCATCTGGCTATTGCCAATTTGGTGAGAAAACATTGCCAAACTTCTCTAATTTTGTGGTTCCAAAAATTGACCTATTTCTTTCTAACTTCTAATTTTCTCTTGCTCAAAAACAGTGTCTATTGATTGTCTTTGTTTGATCTCATTTATTTTAGTCTTTCTGTTCTGTCTAAGTCAAAAGACAGCTCAACTTGTGGTAATTCTTTCTTCATTCTTGTTCATTTCATTGTTCTTTTGTGTCTCTCATATCTTATGAACTCTAACTCATGTCATTCTTATGCTTTAGTTCTTGTTCTATTTTCAGTAATTATTCCTATTTTTCATCAGTGTCTGATCTCTGAGGCCTGGTTCTAGTTTCTGTATTTGGACCTGTTTTAATGATCATCTCCAACAGGAGATGAAAGGACTTCTCATCAATCTGGAACCCCCAGTTTGCACCTTCAAATGCTAAATGCTAAATTTATCCATCAATGAGAACACAGTAACCTCAATTTGTAACAGTTTTTCTATTTCTAACAATCCTTTAGTGGTAGTGGGTAAAATATTCTGTTAAGATTTAATTTTCTGTAGTGTAGTTTAAGAGCCTAACACTATGCTACACTAACACTGGAGGGCTTCTCATCACTATTTAGAGCACTTTTTAAGCCCTCCTAAGTCCTGAATTAACATCCTAATCATAATTTAAACCATCTCACATTATACTTGTTTCTACAAGGCTTGTAAAATATTTTTTTGGACAGAAATTAAGATCTAGGGGGTGCAAATAGTATCCTGGGAGGTTCCTAGATCAAAAAGGGAAGCTATGCACTATGGTTTGTGTAGCTGACCCACTATTCTCATCAGAATTGGTAGACAAGTGCTTCATTCTAAAGCATCACATATAGGCATACATCTTTGTAGTGATATTTCAATTATCATCAGTTGAGTGCTGTCAGCCTGGGTGATGCCAAGAGCTTGAATCTTCTAGCTACTTCAAGTGCAAAGCTAAAAAAAAGGTGTACAAGTGTGGGTAACACTTGGAATGGAGAGGTTTTTGATATTAGGGGGTATCAAATATGACCAAATCCACCATTATTTAATTGACTGGTTTGAAAAAATCCACCCTTTTTTAAACATGTTGGTTAATCATTTAGCCCCTTTTGGGGCCCATTGATGCAAAGAAATTTTTGGGAAAAGTGAGTGGTTTCTAATGGTGGATTTTCTATATTTGATACCCCCTATTAAGAAAAGAAATAATAAAAAACTGTTAAGTTTTTATAAAGGGAGGGGCCTGAGTTACAGGGGTTTTTATGGTGCCCTCCAATGAATCAGTACCTGTTGACACAGGGGTATTTTTTTATGTACCTGATGATTCAAGAATTTGCAATAATATTCTGACTTTTATATAAGGTCCAGAAGTTATTTGTAGATTCTTGTTTAAAATTCTTTTATTTTTATGTTTTCTTTTATGAATAGTAAAACTTAATGTACTGAGTAATAATGTCTCTATCTTATGTACTTATAAAATAGACATAGATTACATATGCTATGGGGATACTATAGCATGTGTAATAATGTCTCTTAATCATTTAAAATGCTCTGGTCAGGTTGTCTATGAATAGTAGAAGGCTGACAGGTGTCCACTGTGAAAGGGACATCCCAGTGCTCATTCAAATCAGTTGCCTATCATGTGCTACTGACTGTTGGAAATTGTTGATAATGTGAAATTAAGAAACCTGAAAATATAAGCCAATCACATGCCAATGCAATGGTATTATAAGTTTTATTCTTATGACATGCATGATTCCATGGCAAATTTTTGGCACACATTTCATCAAACTGTAAGCTTATCTATACTTGGTTCAGCATTTGTCAAGCGCATGCTTCCCATGTTGGGGACCATCCTGTTGATTCCTCAGACTACCATCACCTGGCCTTTTCAACAGCAAAACTTGGACAGAGCACCATTTTACTTGATCATTGCAATTTGAAAGCAAGGACTTTGTGAACTGGATTCAGATATTTGTAGAACTAAAACCAGCAGGCAAATGGCACAATATGTGCTCAGCCAAACAAAATCCCTCCTCAGTGTGGGTTTAAGTCTGAAGAAGAATCTGACCTGGAAAACATGTAAAACTTTCAATGGATTTCTGAGAAGGAATTTTCCTTGGCAAATGTGTACACTTTTTTTGAGAAATAATCCCCCTGATTAGCAAGCAGTTAAAATGTGCTTGCCAAGGTAGAATAACCCCAATAAGGAGGTTCTCTTTATTGCTGCTTGAAAGGGGGAATATTTTCCAGGCAAAAATTGTTGAGTTTTGACCTCACTGCGGACTCGTGGAAGTCCGATGGACCACGCGCATACCTGTGTTGAGAACCCCCAACTGCGGATTCAAGAGCACTTGTATCGCTTAGGGTTGTCTTCTCCCTTAAGGAAGACGGAGACTCCAGCTCTTTCTTCTTCAACCAACCTAATTGGAATTTGGTTCAACTATCCAAAATCGCTTGACTTCTCGATAATCATTGATTGTCAAGACTACCGGGAAAAACACTTGTAAAGTAAAACGACTCCAATAATCCGCTCCAGCAATCTGAATCCTGACAATTTTTCCTTTATTTATTCTTTTCTTATCTCTCTTGTGTAGACTGAGTACCCCAATCTTATTTTTTCAAACTTCTCTCACCTGCTTAATACCAATACTTTCTTAAGCTTCTGTGTGTTTCTTTTTTTCTCTTTCCTTTTTTTGTTGTTTATTGTCAAAAAGAACTAACTCTGTTTTCTCTCAACCTTTTTGAATTCTCTTGCTTAGTCTTCTTCATCCTCTCAAATCCTCATCCCGCCTCTTGCAACGGTGCAACCAAGACACTACAATACGGTATCAGGCGTTTATCTGTATTGTCTCAAAATTTGTATACCCAAAAATACCGGATTTGTGTTGTCTCACTTTCCTGAGACAATACACACGTATCGTCTTTGGAAAGTGAGACAAGTATTCTGTATTGTCTCAGATGACTGATCCCACCAAAAACGTATTTGATACAAAAGATATTTGGCCATATTGAAGAAAAAACAAAAAAACAAAGACAATTTTTTTCATTTGTAAGTCAGAATCCAATATAATATATTTGTTCACCAACCAAGGAAATACTGATACCGGTATCAGGATCAAAATAACTATGATACAATCCAATACGAATACATGTCTCATATCTGTTGCACCGTTGCCTCTCGGATAGTCATTGTCTCTCCTTGTCTACATTAGGGGGTATCAAATATAACCAAATCCACCATTATTTAATTGACTGGTTTGAAAAAATCCACCCTTTTTGAAACATGTTGGTTCTTCATTTAACCCCTTTTGGGGCCCATTGATGCAAAAAATTTTTTTTAAAAAAGTGACTGGTTTCTAATGGTGGATTTCCTATATTTGATACCCCCTATTGAATAGTGGTACATTTTCCTTCTCTCTCTCATCTTCAGTTCTTATCTATGTTTCTGATCTGATCTTGGTTCTTGTTTTCTTTTCAGTTCTGGTTTCTATTTTTAAGCAATAAAATCAAACTTCTTCACAAATGACCCCCGGAAATTAATCTTTGTTTTTCAGCAAGTATAAGGTGTCTCCCAAAGGAAAGGCACCATCCTTAGTGGGTTAAATTTGTACCTAATTACCAAGAATAATGATGTTCATACCTGGTAAATATGTACCTGGCCAATCTGCTGGCCAAGCAATGGATCTTTGACAAAGCTTGTTTTTCTCTGCCAGACATCTCATTTTATTTTGGGGTTCATGTTTTTACACTGTTTTTTTTCTGCCTGCAATACAGTCAACCAGTGTGTTGAGGGGCACAGGGACTAAAACTACGACTGAAGTCAAGACTCATGTCTGGGACTTGACAATGAGAAACTAATGTGTTAATTCAGTGAGTAGAGGAACATTGAAAGAGTCCAGTGTTCAGTAGTAATGGAACACTTGTTATAAGCATAACTATGTACAAGCATCAATTACTACATATGGGATGACCATCCCAACACAGTGAGTGATGATTGGAGTACTTCCCATCAGAATCTCTGGGTCCTGCATTTTGATTTAGAGCCTCAAAAGCTAGATTTCCCTGCAAAAATCTAGACCTTCTTGGTCTAAATCAAAAACTAGGAGGGCCCAGATCGTATGAGAAGTTGTACATTTACTTATTTTTTGCACAATTGCTTTTTGAGAGAAAATTAAAAGGTTTAAAAATCCAAATGGAGCACCAATTCTTTGTCAAACATACCTGGCACAACAGTAAAACACCACTGTTATCAATATCATCCACACTGCCCCCCCCCCTATCACACGTTCAAACCCCACCTGGAACACCCAAACCCTACAATGCTCCTGAGGAAGATCAATGTCTTAGTCCTGCTCCTCAGCTGCCTTACTAGCGCTCACGGATATGACCCACCACTTTGCCCAAAGTGTCACAAGAATAATTCCAGCTACCTGCCTCGAAACTATGACAAGAGACCTTGCAATACTGTGACCAAGTGCAATCACCATGGAGACTGTTTGCCATGCACAGAAATGGTACCCTACCAAGTACGATATTGCTTCAACTGTGCAGGCCACCAATGGGAGGAAGTTCTGACAGCTTGGTGCCCTAGAAACAATTATGGGATGGATCAACACATCAATTCCATTTGTCCACAAAAACCACCTTCTGCTTGATTTGGAAGCGCTTGGTCAAAAAAAATAATGGCTCTGTTGTAATAGTCATTGGGCAGAAAAACTTTTTTTAATGATGTTTTATTTCTTCAATCATCACAATTTCCTCCCAATTTGAGTTCAGAAAAACCCAAGGGAGATGAAGAGGTATTCATTTCTCATATATGATATGGAAACATGAGGGTTAAAATCAGCCACTTCATTCAAATGTATGTAGATTTGATCATTGAATTTGTTATGCCATTTCCATGTTCAGGATGATTGTCAACTAACAATCTTGATTCATCTTGTGACTGCCAATTTCAAAACTCAACAGAATTATGGGGAATTTTATGAATGCACTCCCTGCTCCTCTCATCCATTCCTCCGCCAACACTGCATCAAATACAATATTTGCAATGTATTGGCATGTATCATGTTTTGTAACATTGTCTTGATGTAAAATGTTTAATGAAAAATGGAAAAATTCCTGTCAAATTTGGGGCCCTCACAGATGCCAATTTAGCCCCAAAAACCCAAAAAGTTTTGCTGGTAAATTTGGTTTTCCAGACTCTAAGTTGCATCTTGGATACCCACAGATCTTGATGGGAAGTCACCCAATGTGATTCTATGGAGAGTGACATACAATAAAATATTGCATTTGTTGCAGTGTCGCATCCACCCTAAAGAAGAGGTGTGTGTGCAAACCCACCCTTTTTTTTGGGTGTATTTGGGTGCACCCCCCTTTTTTAGATAGGCCCCTTCCTAAAAAGGTGTGTGTGTGGTCTAATCTAAGCTTTTTGAGTGGACGGCTTGGCCTACATGCCAAAGAAATAGGAACACAAGCTATAAATTTGATAGAATTTTTGAAGATGTGGAATGACTGCATGACCTTGTGTGGATTGGCTTAGTACCTCACTTGTTTCTCTTCTGGTGTAATACATGTGTATGCAAGAGAGAATGAAAGGCAGGCCAAACCCAGCCAGATGAAAAAAAAATCCAACAAATATGTAGTGCATGCATGAGAGAATCCAAGGAAGACTGGTCGTTGGATTAGGTTGATTTCAAGTGATAGAAAGAACACAAGACATGCAATTGGTGTGTGCAATCTCACAAGAGATTAGATTGAGATCATAACAGCTTTGATAAGGGCTTCTGTGGGGGTCCAATGAGAGGTTTGAAGTGCCACCTTTAATCTGAAGAACGTCAAGGTACACCTTTTTTCAAGGCCTTTGGGGTGTACCCACCAGTGGGGGTGCTGGGTGTGCCACCAGCCTCCCCAGGCCTCTGGTCCCCTGGTGCCTCGGGCGGTTTTTTTTTTTTTTTTTTTTTTTTTTTTTAAAGTGTTATTGATTTCACATGTCACACTATAATCTAATGAAACCTATCACAAGCCTTTTAAATCTACCACTATCTGAACTACATAGTTGTCTAATATCAAATAACCCCGCAGGACCGCAGGTCTAACCAAACTATTCTGCAATTAACTGCTATATGCTGACAAGTAAATATTCTTGCAAAATTGGATTGTAGAGGGAAAAGAAAGAAATAAAGAGAAAAAATTGGAGAAAAAAATTCTTAAATTGTAATGAAACTTTTGATGGGTCAAGATCAAGTTGCTTTTGTATGTTTGTTGACTTCAGTCTTCTTTATTGGGCATGAAATACTGAAAGGAGAGTGATTGTACTTGATGTCAGTCAAAGTTGTGAATTTTTTCTTAGATTGATCTAATTTTATGCATCAGAAGCAAGCACCGCTTGGGTTTTCAATGTTGCAGTCTTTGGAGTTATGTTTACCTCCACATTTGGCACAGAACGGAGGTGTCTTACAGAAATAAGCCGGGTGCCCAAATTCTAAACAATTAAAACACTGGGGAGGGCCGGGAGTATATTTTGCTTCTTTGAGGGGAATGCCATCGATGATCAGACAGCCTCGTTCGATGTCCCTAGCGAGTTGTTTATCTTTCACATTTATTAACAGGGTACCGTGTGTCTTGCCATTCTTTTGAGGCTGCCCTAGCCACCTCATATTCTCTATCATGTTGGGTGGGATATCGTTCTGAGTGCAAAGTGTTTCTAAGTGATTGTTGTTCGTTGTATCGAATTTGATTGGGACCGAATGAATCATCACAGTAAAGGTGGCCATTGGTGTTGAAATTCTGTCTCTTTCTCCTCATTCCTAAAAACTTTTTCCTCATTTGTTAATGTTTATACAAATTAATATTCATGTTTTGAATATGTTTTGTCCTTGTCTGAGTGGCATCTTATCTTTTTGTCTAGTGCTGAAATCCCTGTAGTCTTCGAACCTGGGTCTAGTCTTTATCAACAAGAATTTGCTCCTGTCAATGTTTCATTCATGTTTCAAACTGTTATTCATTTCTATATTCAATTTCTTCTCAAAACCACATGTTGAACATCTTTTATGTAGACTACTTAACAACTAGTCTCTGCTAAGTAAAAAATATCATCGGTTCTCTCCCTCTTTTTTTGACCCTCTGAGCTGTTCCAACAAAATTAATTTTTGTTGTCAAAAATCTCCTCCAAGAGTTCTCCCTTCTTCAGTTAAAATTTCTTCAATTGGTGTCTTAAAATTTGGGTCCGCTAGATGGATCCAGGTGTGTTTATGCTTGAGAAGCCATCTTGCCATCGTTCGGTTCTTTGTAATAAATTTGACGTCGCCTGAGGGGAATCGTGTGACAGCTTGGACTTGGACTGGGCTGTTATCAATTTTTGCATTGATGGAGCTAAGGGCTTGGTTAATGTTGGTGACAATTTGCATGGAGGACAAGTTCAAAAAGGGTTTTTCCGTCCCCGGCCGTGATCGAATGATGGTGTGTCCTCTTTTGAAGCGATTAACATAACTGTTGGGAGGGATCGAGGGGAGTGGGTGCGACATGGTGGTAGTTGTCTTTGTATTTGAGAGGACTTGATCAGGTGTTTGCTTCGAAGGCGACAAGGCTGCAGACGCATACGACTTCTTCTCTCGTTTCCGAAGCTGAATTTGAGGCTCGGTGTGTATCTCAAGGCTGTGCACAGAATCAGAATCTAGGGCTCTTTCCAATCGTTCTAATCGTTCGGCTAGACCATCCAGTCGTGAACACAGTAATTCCATCGAGCTATCTGGTGTTTCTGTGGCGGGGCTGATGTCTTTGCTGAGAGCTTCAATTCTTTCTAGTCTGGTCAGGAGTATCTGCATGGTGTTGAAGAGCATTTCGAGGGTGGGTGAGGGGCTGGTTTTGGGACCTCCAGCGGCTGTTTTATTATTCTTCACCATATTCAATTACGTCCAAAGGGAGACCGGTCGAAAAGAGGAAACCAATTGATTGGAGATTTGAGCCGAGGCGGAGCTCATAAGAGGGACCAAACGGACTGGAGAGGTGAGATGTCGATTGAGTTTGTTCTGTGTAAGTGAAGCTTAGGGTGGTGAGATTGTGGTTGTGTGTGGAAGCCTCCTCGGGCGGTTTTTGGGCACTTGTGCACGCGCTTTTGTCGCCCCCTGTCACCGCCCAGGGAGGGGGCGGTTAAAACCGTCTTTCTCAAAAAAAGGCAACGACCCAAGAACAAAACTTGACTTGAAATACGCAACAGCTCGCCGGTTGGAGCCATGTAGAGGAGCCACATCACCATCATCATGACGACCCCCCCCGCTATCCAACCGTGCTACACACGCTCAAGAACTAAGTCGCTCAAAAAATAAAAAACAAACTGGAATTAAACATTAGAATCAAATAAAGCATCACTAAAAACTAAGCTTAAACGCAACAAAAGCAATCAAGAAAAAATAAAGAGATGGAATACAACTACTTGAAGTACAGTGGCAACCGGTTGCAGAGGAGGAAACAAAACGGGGGAGAAGCGCAGGCTAGGGTTAGTGACATATATATATATATATGGAAAGGAGAAGATTGGAGGAGGAGAATCAAAAACCTGAGGGTTTTGTGAAAGATATATATGTGTGTGTTTGTGTGTATCAGAAAACCCAAGAATTTGCGAGAGGAGCTTGGAATAAATAACAGAACTGAAGCCACTGATAAAGAGCTCTTTATAATAGATCTTTCAAGCTTAATTCTATCATGTGGAGAATGAGAAAAAAAAATGAGAATTGTTATAAGAAACAAAAAAATGAGGAATAATGGAAATTGAAGTGGGTGGAAAGTGCTAGATGAAATCAGTCAGATAACATAAGAAAGTAATACACAAGGATTGTGGAGGAGATAAATTACCCAAAGCATACCATGGGAGGATGTGTAGTTTTTTTTTTTTTTTTTGGGGGGGGGGTGGCAGGAGGGGGTGTTAGAGGGGACTAGAATGACTGGACGCGCCGAGCAGATTATTGTTGGCCATCGTCGGCTCGTTTTCGGAGGAAGTGAAGTGAGCGGAGGTGTGGATAGGCCAATGGACCTTCTGGCTGATGATCACGGAGACGACGAGGATGATAGCGAAGAGAAGGAAGGCTAGCAAGCAATGATAGGCGCCCCTTCGTTCCTGTGTACTTGGGCGGAAAGCCAATGATCACACAGGGAGCAACCAGTCAACTTCCGAGACTCTCGATCTTCCTACATGACGTAAATGAGAGAAAACAAAAAAAAGGAAGGGAGGGAGAGACGCACGCGTTTGTCGAGCTCAGTCAGGGCTTCTTCTGTCCGGGGATCCGGATGAAGCCATTCACTGGCATTGATTCCCGCCGCATCCAACCGTTCCGCCGAACTGATGCAACCCGGACTCCAGTCGGTAATCATCACGGTTTCGGACGAATGGTCGAAGAGGGTCTTGGACCTAGGAACGACGACCACAGTGGTCGTACCGACTTCGACGTCCCCTTTCGAGAACGGCCCTCGGAGCTGGGAGAGATAAGAGAGGATTTGTCCCCGTCGGGCCCGACGGTTAGGATTAGGAATGTTCTGTTTCCGAGTCAGGCGACGTCTCAGGGATGGAAGGATATACAGGGAGCCGTAGAGCCAGAGTGGAGGGCATAGAAAGCCCCACCAGAAGAGCAATTTGGTCCGGGGCGCAGGCGACCAACGTGGGGAAGTAGCCAAGCGGAAGGCGTCAAGGATCGGGTCGTTGGCGAGTTGTCCATGGGCGGGTACGTGGATGGTGGGGTCGTGTTCGAGGATCGATTGCGGTCGGAGAGCCGGACTGCTTTCGCCGATCGGTCGGATGATCGGCGTGCAATAGGTGAATGGCCTCTGGCCGGCCGAGTCTGCAGTCTCAGCATTCGAGACCAACTTCGAGGTCCTCGCGATGATCGGCTCTTTGGGGAATCCTGAGGGAAGGTAGTTGGGCGAGTGCAGACAGTCTGTGGTATCCCCGTCCTCTCGCTCCATACGCGAATCCGACTGCAGTTCTGAACATTGCCTCGAATGGTCTTGGCCACGGATTGTTAATGAGATCTGATGCTCCATCTCGAGTTTTAGGTTTTATATGAATTATAAATGTTTGAAGAATAAATATTTATTTATTTAAATATATGTTCTTTGTGTTTGCCCGATTGTGCATGCAAAGGTGGGAGTTTAAGCAACTTGTGATGATATGGTTGACGCGTGCGTGATGTCGAACGGATTCAAGGAGTCGCGAAATCCAATTGTTTATTTTATTTTATTTTTTGATCTCAGGCTGACTCCACACTCTGTCCCTCTCTCTCTCTCTTTCCAAAGTCGGTTGGTTGTTGGTTGGTTCTGCTCGCCCTCGGCGCCCACTCAAGAAGCCAGATGGCTCAATGACGGTAGGAGTATCTGGAGGAAATTAGCTCGCCTAGTGAAAAGAGTCAAAAGTGCACCGATGTCAATCTTTATCACCAACACACCCACTTTAGCAAAAACGGGATTCAGAAGGGATGTCATGAAACAATCTGATGGAAGTCATCGGGAGAGGAAGTGACGGTAACACAGCAGATAGAGATACATGAAGAGAAGGGTTTGAGGATGATGATGGTAACGAACCTGGGCTTTGAATAGGGAGCTGATCGGAATTTTTGGAAGAAACGATAGTGGTGTGTTTCGAATAGGAGAAACGAACGAACGTATTTCAGACGCGCAGAGAGGAGCGAGATTTGGCTTCTTCTTTTTTTTCTTTTTTTCTTAAAAAAAAAAAAAGAAAAACCAAAAATGTATTGGGGTTGGGAGATGGGTAGTTGGATGTCAGCCTAGGATTGTCTGCGTGAATGTGCGGTTGGCGGGCTGTTATTGGAGTGTAAAAAAGGAATATGTTTTAATATAATACATATCTCTCTAGTCTCATGGAGAAGTTGGATGGGAGTGAGATGGAGCCAAGGATGATGATGATGATGGGAGAGTTCTAAAACACTACCAGATTATGCAGAGGAGGGAGACGGAGATAGCCAGCCGGTGCTTTGAATCCCACATAACAGGGGCGACTTGGCTGGCGAAGTACATAGACTAGCACCGACAAGCAGCTCGAGTTTGCAGGGCTGATTGGCTAGCCATCAATCAACGTTGTAGACAGAGAAGAGCGGTGTTGTCAAAATGCGCGTTGAATTTTTGCTAAAGATCTAGGTTGCTGTAGGTTCATGGAGCTAGAATTCCAACTCTGATATTTTTTTATTTACAGCCCTGCTGACATTGACAACCGGAATGAAGGATAGAAGGGGGGTGGGGAGGGCACCGGCAGAGGCAGTGGTGGTGGCCAGGGACTGTACATAGTCTGTTGACGGTCCACGTACGGTTGGCTGGATGATCAGCTGAGGAAAAATTTACATCTGGGCAGCGGGAGACTAATAGCGAGATTCGAGTCTGGCCTCGCATAGTTCTGAAGTGTGTATGTATTGAGATTTTCAGAGTATGTATCGAGCAAACTGACTGATGAAGGTCCAAAGGGGGGGGGAGGCTCACCCCAAGACATCCCATGCAATGCTGATGCTGGATCGAGATGAAGTTGAGTATTTTCCGCTACTGGAATCTCAGTGGGTGAATTCGCAGTTTATACACAGTTTAACAAGCTGTTGCGATCTAGCTCTACACACGTATCTATAAAAAACAAAAATGAAATCGATAGGATGCCGTATGGAACCGGAAGATGATCATGAATACTATCCGGCCCGGTCGCGTGGATTCTACGACACCTTTTGGTGGCTCTGAGTACCAGGCTCTCTCGGCCCTGGCTCCCGCGTTACTTTGTGAAATGGGCAATTATTGTGGTTGTTAAACATAAACAGTGTAAATGGAATTTGGTATTCAGCTGATCAACTCTAGTGATATGTATACAAAGCTATCAGTGTAGCCATCTAGGCAAAAGAAGTCACCGTTGTGGCGAATTGCAGCATTAAGTAAGGGCCTAGACCCGATTGGCAGAGTGGCTATAGCTAGCGTCCGATTTTCATAGAACCGATGGGCTCCCTAAAGGCTAAAGCTCAACTTGTCAAGACCGACATATAAACATGTTGGTGCAATATTTGTATGAGTATGTAAATATGTAATGTAGGGGGAAAGATGTCGTTAATTCCCCTTAGGCCCAAAAGATATGTGCATGGAGGAGCCACGTTGTAGGAGTAGGTAAAAGCACATTGGCCAACGGCGCCTGTAAAAGGCACTTGACATTGCGTTGGTCTCACCAGGAGGATGCTGATAGCGTTTGTCGGCTGGAATAAATTTTAACCCGCTATGTAAGTACAGAAATAATGTGAGGAAGCAGATCAAGCCTCAAGCGCGCGTTGAAGGAAGGGAGGGATTCTCACCTGACCGTCGATTAGCAAGCTTCCAAGTATGTAGAAGAAAAATGCCCTGCGGTCTCTGCGAAGGGCATCCATCATTTAGCATTCGTAGCATATCCATACGATGTCCAGATTGCCGAGTGAGCTGTTCTTGCGCAGTGGCCCCGGGCCGTAGTTCTTTTGATTTTTGTAGGCTCCATCAATCCACACAAGGTTCAAGCAGGTTGAGGTTTACGATCAATAGCTTGAAACCTATCATCCCACCAACCCAAATTCCCAATCATTTCTTGATAGCGTTTCGACCCGCGTTCCTGAGCCCCTTCCTTTTCAAGCTCCAACAACCCCCTTGATGTTTACAAAATCATTCGTAGAGACTACATATCATCAGCTAGCACAGCACCACATCTATACAATATGCATACATGGTAGATTTCTCTTTGCACAAAAACAGAACCAACCAGTCTTCCAACTGAGCAGGGTCAGGGAGTGCCAAATGATGAGATGGACTCAGCGGAGTCCACTTGGAGGCAGATTGTGGCGAGGGGAGGGCATTTGTACCACACACAACTTGGTGGATTGCGCTAGCTTGGGCTACGATAGATCTTCGGTGCACTGCTGTCACCTGTTTCAAGCAAAAGCGACGCTATTCTGACGTCAAACTCTGCTGACCACTTCACTTCCCTCTCAGCCAGGATACAATGACCAGAGGGAGTACATAAGTTCAGTTTGTACTCGACAGTCGAGATATGAAAAGGAGAGCATCATGGATCACACACTTCAGGAGTTGCTTTCAAGACCGTCGGGCAGGCTTACACATAATATGCTGGGCTAATCGATCCGCAATTCACTCTTTTAATGCTCGTGAGTCGTGCCTGGGGAGCTCCTCTACACATTTGTTTGAAATCTGACAAGCCATCTGTTCCTTGCAATCTTGGATCCCGCCTGATGAAGGTGGCATGTTATGATCTCGATTAATGGTTGATCGTCCGATCGTTTTTTTTTTTTTTTTGGAATCAGTTCCTCCCCAGCTCGTTATTTGAGAGCAACGATGACGTCATCCTCAACGACAGCCATAACATGTGGGCACACACGTGATGAAAGAAAAAAAAAGACAATTATGGTTGGCCAACCGGAGATGGATTTAAGTGTTACAAAGCATGAGTTTTTGTGGAACGTTGCAGGAGGCTATATGCAGATACATATATCTTATCAAAGATCAGCTGACTGGCATAACCAACCAACATGCAAAATATTGAAAGGTTCGCGAAGGAAGAGGAAGCAATACTCGGTGGCAAGATATGTGATTTAAAAGGTTTTATGTACAAGAAGGGTCTGGGTTGAAGATGATTTTGAGAAAGGAATTCAGAGGAGACCATTCAAATTAAAAAAAAACAAAGTTAAAGCTGAATCGAATATGGCTTTAAGTTGATGATGAAATTTGGGGGAAAATCGATAAAGTGAAAGATCAATGGAGAAGGGAGGCAATGAAAAGCAGGGAAAATGGATTCTTGACAAGGAAGGAAAGCAAAGAAGGAATGCAAGGGATTGGAAGTCAGCTCGAGAGCAAAGAAGATTTAATCTGAGGTCATAGCACAATGACATCATCTCAGTGAAAACAAGACAGGGTGTATTCCATAAGGAGACCTTAGAGCCTAAGATTGAAAGGCTGCCAAAATCCAGCAAGTGAGAACAATTTTCATGGGGCAGAAACTTGAAGGACTTTGTTCTCAGACCACATTGTTGCAGCAACTCAAGATGGGGATTACCTGAACATCATGCAGGCCCTGGAAGTTGGGTTGAATGTTTGTTTGACACTTGGAGAAGTTGTTTAAGTGAACAACAGTGTACTGTTGACTGTGTGGTGTGTACAGCTGTCCTATAGACACATTGAAGGAATTGTCCAGACAATCCTGAACATTCACTTGGCCATCTAGTCTGAGAAGCTGTTCTTTTGATGACACTTATGCAAGTGTGGGAAGGACCCCAGTATCCAAAAGACACTCTGGTTGGAGCTGTTGCCCCCAGAAACCTTACCCTAGTGTTAAGGGGACTGACTGAATTCTCCCAGGTATTCAAGATGTGCTAACTAACCATCCTGTTTGCCTAGGACCTCAACAATTGTGTCTTGTCAGATAAACATTGCACAACTGTTGCTAGAAAACTGATGTTGTCCTGTGGCCCAATTGGTTGCTGGGATACATGGGTTTTGCTGGGGGATCTCTCAACCACTCCTGTGGTGTAGAGGGGGACTGCCAGCCTCTCCTTTCAGCTGCACCTAACATGAAATTCAGAAATATTCAGGCAGAACCCATGCACACAGTTTCTGTGAGACTGTGAATTTATTTAACTTGGATGACACATCTGACCAAAAAAAATGAACAAAATCTGTGGCTATGTGGTTTTTAAGCTTTCTGTCTTATGCACAGTTTGTTGCTGATTCAATTGAGCTGAGTGAATACTAGTCAATCTAGGGGATTTGATTGAGGAAACTGACAGAATAAGTTGGATGATGGATAGTGCAATCATAAAATAGATAGGGGGTTGATAAGCGCAAGCCAACCCCCCTCGCACACGACAATCTGCTTGCCAGCAGCAGATTGGCATGCAGGCCCACACGCCAAAGCAGATTGGTGTGCAGGCCTGCACGCCATTCTGCAGCAAGGTTGATTGGCGTGCAGGTCCTAAACCCATATTAATATGGGTTTAGGACCAGGGCTATCCCATAGGACCCAGGCATGGGTCCTATCAGATAGCCTAAAAAAAAACCTGTCAATCCTTGTAGGACACCGGCCGGTGTCCTACAAGGTCAACAAGGCCCACCTTGCCGGCCAGGAGGATTCCCTCCTGGTCGACGAGGTTGTACATGAGCCTTGTCGGCCAGGAGGATCGGTTATCAATACAATTGATCCAGAGAGCCGTAGACGTGCCTGGGGTCCTCAGCTCTCCTTGAACCCATTCTCAAAGAAAGATAACAGGCTGAGAGGGCGCCCCTCTTGGCCTTGAGACTGCACAAGGTCTCAAGGCCAAGAGGGATTCCTCTCGGCCTTGAGCCACTTGAGCCATGTACGGTCTCAAGGCCCGGAGGAACCCCTCCCGGCTGTGAGACTGTACAGTCTTTGGGCTGGGAGGAACCCCTCCCAGCCCGAGACTTTTTTTCTTTTTTTTTGCAATCCTTCCTCCCATAGGAACCATGCCTGGTTCCTATGGGAGGGAGATTGGTGTGCAGGCCAATCTGCCCTGTAGCAAATTGATGTGCGGGGCTGCACACCAATCTGCTGCTGGCGTGCAGTTTGGCGTGCGCGAGGGGGGCTGGCTTGCACTTATCAACCCCCAAATAGCTAAGAAACTTCATGAAAACCTATGTGAGAAGGAATCACAAAATTCAACAAGTAGATAAATTGGACTGGTTTCTAAAACTTTTTATCCAATTTTAGTTTGTGTTTTGTTAAAATTTATTAGATCTTATATCTATTTGGACTACCATTTTAATTGGTCTCTTCAATCAACCCTGAATGGATCTTATTTGCCAAAATAACATTCAGCAGCTGCTTGACGTGCCTTGGGGGGTAGATCTACTTGTGCAGTGGCAGCAAGGTTTTGATATCCTTGAAGCAACATTGCATCAAATCTTTCTTCTGCAGATTTTGATTCTTCATTTTTGTAGCATGACTCATCTGAATTATCTTTCCATGATTCAGCTTGCATAAAGTGAATTATATGTTTTAATCCCATCATTTTTTTTTTTGAAAAATTAGCTCAAAATTTGGACCACAATTGTATGATTTGAGTTATTTATTAAGCTTACTTGATTGATTGATATTGGTAGCTGTTCCCTCTTCTATTTTTTGTTTACCTGTGCCATTGGATTTCAAAATTCCCAAATAATCAAATTCTTGTGAGGGGGGGGGGGAGGATTTATTTATAGTTTGATAAAGAGAGATTTGCCTTGCTCAGGCAATCATTTATAGGAATGGTGTCCTTCTTTGCAGCTCTCAAAATAAATAAATAAATCACATGTGGAATGTAGATTTACCTTTTTCAGATCTGTTCATCCTCTTGTGGAGGGTGTGCTGAGTGCCCTTGGCAACATCTTCAATGTCTCTTTTTTCCAGAGCTTTGGGATACAATGTTGGATTTTCTGAGATTACATAGCAATTCAAAATATGAAATGCACATAAGATACTGGATAATTGCATGGCTAAGGACCGGGTTGGCTGGATCTTATTACTTTTTGGTTGAACTAAGAATAGCTACAGATATGCAAGTGGGAAGGCGATTATTGGAAAAATCCAGGAAGATGAAGGGTATTTATAATCCTAAGCTAACCATTAGGGTGCTGGTTATTGAAAAGTGTGAACATGCAAATTTTGCTTGCCCTTACTCAAACCCAGTATGGCAAGTGTATACCCACTCAATTAAACTGTGTCTTTTTGAAATGATGCATGACTGTGATCTCTCTTTTAACCTTGGGAATACATCTGTAGTCTGTCTGGCCTGCAGTAAATGGGGGATATGAAGTTGATCTAGTTTGTTTGATCTTTTAACCCACATCTAATATAAATTATATTATTTGCAAAAAAAAAAAAACTGTCAAGTTGCTTTGATGACCCCCCCCCCCCCAATTTCTTCAATTTTAACCCTGAAGGCCCATGTAAGAATCCTCAAAATCATGTTGCATTGCAACCTTCAAATGTGTACAGGTTGCAGGTGTTGTTTGAAATAGCTGGTTTGATCATTGAAAGTCACAGTTTAAATTAAGATATCTTGACAGAATAATGGTTCAGCCATCTGTATTTGGGCCTGTAAATCTAACTTTGTTCAACACCTTTCTGTGTGGGAGGTCTGGTTGTATTTCATAAATACCAGCTCAGAAATACAATAAATAGAAAGAGGAAAAGAAAGAAGAAAATAGTCACCTAAAAGCAGTAAATGACTAAATGAATAGGACAACAGTATATCTCAATATGTCAATGAGAGAAAGATAGAAGAGAAAAACTAATAGAAAAGAGTGAATAAATATCAGAACACTTGTGAGAAAAAGACCGACAAGTACCTACGATGATTGAGGATAGAGAAAGAAAGGAAGTGGTCGGTGGAGTTGTCGAATGGAAGGGATCAATTTGATACAGGGATCAAAGAAGAAAAGAAGTGATCGGTGTAGGACTCCTGGGATAGATAGACACGGTAAAGTATATGTATATCAAAAGATCCCTTGAGGGGAAAATAAATTGCAAATAGGTTGAAAAGCTACTACAACTTACAGGTGGTTTGAAAGACCTGCCCCTATAATTGTACTAAACAAATAACTAAGAGTCTTGTAATCAATATTTAAGAATATGTGGCTGATTCCAAGATAGATCTTACTTTTGTAAAGTAATCTCTATCAGACCTAGATCACGGATCAATCTACTAATGAATCTGTTACAACTTCAGGTTAATAATGGAAACTGTGGCGCTTATGGTTGAGCGCAAGACAGTTGAATTTGTTATTTAGAGTGTGTTAATGATCTCTTCCTCGAAAAATTTCTTGCTAAGGCACTTTAATCACAACTAGAGCTCTGGTGTTACTACTACTACTACTTGTTATTTGTTAGGCCCCGTTTGGACGCGCGGTGTGATAAGATAAATGGTGTCATAAATTTTATGACACCCCATGTGAAAATGGAGTGTCATAAGTTCGAGTGATTACAGATTTATTTATGGCACCTGTGTTTGGCAGATCATCATGAAAGAAAAATCTGATCCCATTTATTGCAAGTACGTTTGGCCTACTGTGTCATAACACTCAAACCTCTCAGAATGCCACCAAGTGCAACCTCACTCCAAAAACGCCAACAACACCAGCTTGTCCAACGAAAGAAGACAATCATCTTCCTTGTCCTCCTGGTCGGCTTACGGCAGTGGTCAAAGACCATCAAAACACCTTACAACGATGCACCGTTCACCGGTGATGCCTACGTTCAGCACATCTTGAACGGTAATTGACTTCGTTCTCAATCGATGTTTAGATTATCAGTCAATGTTTTCCGGATTTGCGCAGATGAGCTCCGGTCGCTTGATGAAGAACCAGTATCCAAGCTTGTCACCATGGATGAACAGTTGGCAATATTCCTGTATATCGTTGGACAGAACGCAACCAACCGTCAAACTCAGGATCGATTCCAGCACAGCGGTGAAACAATATCCCGGGTGTTTCATCATATAATCTATCTTTTCCTACAGCTTCAGAAGAAATATATTGTCTCCCCTCCGGTCAATGCTACACACGAATCAATTTCGGAAAATCCAAAATTCTCACCATTCTTCAATCAATGTATTGGTGCTATGGATGGGTGCCACATCCCAGCATTTGTACCTGAACATATGGCTGGCCCCTATCGCAATCGCAAAGGAATGCTGTCTCAAAATGTACTCGGTGTGGTCGACTTCAATATGAAATTCACCTACATGATGGTTGGCTGGGAGGGATCAGCTCACGACTCCAGGGTACTCGGAAGTGCAATGTCAGAGGATTTCAGTATACCAAACAGCTCATTCTACCTTGCGGATGCTGGTTACTCCCTTGGGAAGGGAATGCTAGTCCCTTACCGTGGTGTGCGATATCACTTGCGTGAAAATGCACAAGCTGCACAGAGGTATGTTGATTGAATGTGTTCACTTGGTTTGATAGAAGTCCTTAACATTCCTGACTGAAAAATGCAACATAACGATATTCAGACCAACAAATAAAGAAGAACTTTTCAATCTCAGGCACGCCATGCTTCGAAATGTTGTTGAGCGGACGTTTGGAACCTGGAAGAAGCGATTCCCTATTCTGGTACATCCATTGGAATACAATTTGAAAACTCAAGGAGACCTTGTTCTAGCTCTGGCCGTTCTACACAACATGATTATCAAACACAACGGCCACTCGGAATACTTTGAAGACCCCGACTACAATGGGGCAGCTCCTGATGATGATGAGATACCAGACGATGATGACGATGCAGACGATGCAAATTCCTTAAGCCGAGCTCAAGCTCGAGCAGCCCACAAGTTATGGAGAGACAAAATTGCCCAGGAAATGTGGGAACAGTACTCAACCTATCTTCAACAAAGGAATCATAGATAGAATACTCATCAGTTTTTTATCAGTCATGTACACATTTTCATTTGATTTCTTTCCTGCTTCAAAACTGCTTCTTCTGCATGAATACATGTTTTCTTTAAGCCAGCCTACTAGAAATGGCACATACAAGTGGTCAACAATCAAAATAAGATGTCATTGTTTGAAATTTTGAGATCACAGTTTGATTGAAAAGATTGACATGAGATTAATGATAGTTTACACATTGGAATCAGCCAATTTGATGGCAATCTGCCTGTCAATCCAGGCCCGGGCATGCTCATTGTTTCTAATTGCAAGAAACAATCTGGCCTTTGCTTCATTTTCCAAAACACCGAATCCCGCAACCAGCTCAGCCATACTGAGATCATCGGCAAATGCATCTTGGAACTTGATTGTAGCTAAGTGGATAGGCGAGCTTTCTGGTGATTTGACCGGTAAGTTGGTGTTTGAGGACACAAACGCATCAACTAGTCGATCAATCGAGTTTTCGAACCGATCACCCAATGTGATGTGGTGCTGGCGAGGTGGACGTACACCTGGGCGCTGAGCAGGTTGAAGAGTTGTCTGTGAGTTTTCGGCCGGGGTTCCAGTCTCGCCAAGAACGATGGGAGTAGCGTTGTTGTTCATTTCTGTACCTGATGATTGTCGCATATCTCCTCGAGCAGTGTGACCCTCGAAGATGATCTGAAAGTCCGAGTATTCTGGGAACGGTGTGTTCTTGAATCGCTTGGCAGTGGGATGTGACTAGAGAAAAGCGGCCACACAACCACTTCAGCATCAACAGAATATTGAGTGAAGACAGACATGCTTACCACCAAGAAAGCATTCCAGACATCATCCGATGCTGTGACCATACATTCAGCTTCATTCCAACCAAAACCACTGGCCCCTTTGCAAGCAACAAACGCATTGTAGATCTTCTTGAAGCCCTGGGTGTACTTTGACTTCACCTTGCTTGCTGTGAATGGGTTGCCAGGGAACTCTTTTAAAAGTTCGCTGGCAACCCACGGATGCACCTCTGGTTTAAATCCGCCCTCAGCTTGTTTCCCGGACTCAACGGCTCAAACATACAACTCCACAGCGCTTCGTTCCATGGCTGGCGTCCAGGTGAGGCTCTTTGACTTCTCTTTTTCAGGGCTGTTGATCGGCTGGATTTGGGAGTTCTGAGTGGCCTGGCTGGAGACTTGAGTGTTTTCAAGTGACTGGTCTGGCTGGTTTTGTGATTGGGTTGGGCTCCATGGGATTGTAACTGTATTTTGAGAGGCCTGGGTTCCACTGGTCACATGTGATTGTTGGGACTGGCTTGCTGGTGTTGCAGGAGGTGCTGTATTTGCTGGAGTCGATGAAGCAGCAGCTGAAGACATCGATCCGTTTTGGCTAGCGCCAGCTCTGGCGGTCTTCTTGGTTCGTGATTGGCTTGATTTTGCTCGAGGCATTTTTGTTTCTGTCTGATCGATGAAGGTGGTAGGATGATGTACATACAGTGAGTGATGAGGTCCAAGTACCAGGGGAAATGAGGACTTACATACCCAAGTTGAGTGTTGGACTTGATTTGAGAATTGAGAGTGGCCCGATATACCACTGAAATTCAGGTCAGGACCAGTATTTTTGATTTGGCAGGGGGATATAAAAATTTTGATCCCCTCGTCATATATTCTATCATCTATCGGGTTGCCACAAACACAAAATAAATGAAGTGTTATACCCGATGCACCCCCGATATAAATCATGAAATTTATATCGGAATTTGGTGTGTCCAAACGGGGCCTTATTTGTTAATAATACTATTTAATTTCAATTTGTTATGGTTGAAGGTTTCTGGTTCTACTACTTATAAATCTCTGATTTTACTTAACTAATTGTGACACACGCACTACTAACTAATTGTGACCAATGTACCTCAGCAGGTTGATGATACTATATTCACTAACTAACACTAATTCTAACTCTTCAAACTTTACTGACACTCCAGAACAATTCCGGTAGCTCAGGACCAAACTTACTGCTCTGAGAGACTGTTGTAGGCTGATGGGGGAAAAGAGAATTCCTGGTGGAGAGAGGCCCTCCTTTTATATTGAAGAGTGAGGGATTTCTGCTGCAGGGTACTTCTTGCGAGGCATTTTTGCTGCAGGTAACACCCACTAGCACAGCATGATGTCATTGGTTGCTATGAAACCAAGCCATGTAGCATGTGCTGAAACCTTCCAAAGCAGTAATCCAGTACAGTATACAGTCTTATGAGATCTGTGACCTGGAAACCAAATCCACATTCCAAATTTTCTGTGTTTCATCTCAACAGATGAAGCAACAGATGAAACATCAGATGAAACCCTTGCTTACTTCCTTCCTTGTTCATTCTTCAGGGTCAAAGCCTCTCCGCCTACCTTCCTTCTCCCCTCCTCATCAACTGTCTTATGTTCTTTTCCACTGATTACACAATAAATAAACCCATATTACATAACCTACCCACACACACACCACGTCTACATATGTATACCTTATCCTGATGTTGTATGTCCTACGTAATGAATGTTCCTCCTCTTGTAATGAATGATAAGTGTGTGTCACTGTGACCTATTCTGTATGCTTTTTGGCATTGGAACAGGCACAGCACACCACATTGGTGGAGTTGTCAAATGGAGTGGATTGATTTGATATAGGGATCAAAGAGGATGAATTACAAGCGCAGAAGAAGATCGTTTGATATTGAGATCAAAGAGATGTTTGACGGTGAGAGTCGCGATGTGATGTTCGTCTCTTATAAGAATAAGACGAGTGATGATTTGGGATAAGAATGAGGTGGTCAACTAAGAAGATTGACTGTAGAGGAATGATTTGAAGGAGTCCTGAGGTGAGAGGAAGATACGACAAAAGAGGAGGGATAATAAAGAAAAGTTGGAATGCACGATGTTAATGTTGGTGGAGAGTGAGAGGGTTCAAGCGCAATGATGTCATTGCCTGAGCTTGATGAATTATAGGGTTCAGGCCCAATGATGTCATGAATATTTTGGTCTTGGGTAAACAGGTGGTCTAGAGCCGAGGCTTAGACCTCAATATTGTTGAGTTTCACTTGTGTTTTGTATGCTACACACCTGTTCATCACATGTCACTTCAGTTTCACATGTAGTGTAGTATACCTGGGGCAGCAACTCACTCGTGGAAGGATTCTTTCCTCATCCTTCCACATTTCTCATCTGCTGTCCCAGGTATGAGTTTTCTTTCCTTTCTTTCTCTTTTTCTTCTTTTATGTTCCAGTCGCACTTTTCATTACTGATGCAATGATATCCTTCCACATTTCTCATCTGCTGTCCCAGTTTGTCTCATCAGGTTATGAGCACCAGTGCTAGCTACCTACGCACTCAATTGGAGAACAACTGAAAGCAAATCAATAAAAAGGATCCGTACGCTGTAAGACTCAAAAAGTGATTGTAAGATCCTTTTTGCTGAATGGAGAAAGGGATGAAATGAGCTGCAAACTCTGCCTTTCTATATTATCAGAAAACAAGACCACCAGGGTAAGCTTGGCAGTTTGGTTGGTGATAATGGATTATGTTCAAAGATGGTTGTATAATTGTTGAAGGTTGATCTGGTTGTCCAAAGAATTGATTGAGTTGTTGATTTTGTTTCTCGTTTTGATGTCTTGTTACTTGTTTTCTTCCTTAATGCTGTATATGTAATAGAGGTGGTTCTTGAACCCAAAGGGTCTGGGAGCACTACGCTTCAACCAGGACTGGAACAAAGGACTGGTGCTTCTGTGTAATGTTTGTGAAACTGTGTATATATTTCAACTGTGAACTGTACTACTTGTGAACCTCTTGTGTAATAAATATCTGTGACAGGTGTCCCACTAAAAATGTGTACTGAGTGGGATGAGGAGGGAAACAACTGGCAGGCAGAGGCCTCCTTATATAGTAAGATATGAGGGATTTTAGCCCCAAGGGACCCCCTGTATGAGGCATTTTAGCTGCCCTGTCCTTGAAAATCCTGAGGGATTTTGGCTAGACTATCTACAACGCATTCCTTTTATATGTAAGCTGTAAGAAAGGAATTCATGTGTTCTGTGGCTGAATAAATGGGAATTTAACTGGTACAACTGGTGGCCAACTTGTGGTTCTGTAAGTATAAAAGGAATTCAATATGGATAAAAGGAATTCAATATGCATTATGCAATATAACCCCATGCAATATACCCTCCAGCTGAGTGCCTCTGATCCTGTGATTCTCCATGTGACATCCTTGATTCTGCGTATCTTCTGATCCAGTAGAGATATGAAGGTGGTTCCAGTGAGTGACTAGGGGTTAAATTGGCCGTAGATTCCATTTCTGATGTCTATTTGTCCGTATCTTGAGTCCTTCATTGATAAATAATAAAATTTTGAATTTTCTCCCTTCATACACAGGAATAATGACCACATCCTCCCCCAACTTATTGACTGTCCCCAGTCAATTCTGATTTTATGACTGTGTTTGAAGGCTAAACCTTGTGTATTTTGTATGGTAGAATCTAAATTTAGATGTTGTAGTGATAATAATAAACTTTGATAATTTTTTTTATGTTTATTTAATCATCCAAAATTCCCTGGTTATGTTTGGTTGAGACTGGGAATTGAACAGAGAGCCTTCTTATTTTTCAGAAATTTACTCCTTGGGTGAGAATTGAACCCAGGTTTATTGTGTATAAAATTTGATTAAGGGTGGGATTGGAACCCATGTCCTTGATGTTGAATTGTGTGGGTGTTGGGTTTTGCCTAGTTGGGGACGTTCACAGAGCCTTTCACGTCCTTGGATTTGGGTTGCTGCGCGCGCAGTAGTCCTGGAAGCCGTGCTATCCTTTTCCTGGTCTTCCTCCGTTTTTCGGACCACCTGTCACTGGCCTTTCACAACCTCTAGATATCCTCCAGGATATCCACTCCGGCCCGGTAGCGTATCCTCCAAACTGTACTCCTATCTCCCCAATTTCTTCCTCTCGATCATCCACCCGACTATCCGCCTCTAACCCGGTCTTCTTGATGATCTTCTCGGCAATCTTCTCAATGATCGACTCTTCTAATTTGTAAGTTTTATCTTCCTTTAACGTGTTTGTTTACTTTCCCCCGCTAACTGTAGTGGCTTCGTCTCCGCAGATTTTCTAATAGTATTCTTGACTATTCACTATACCCTCGACTTCTCGCCAATCTTCTTGTCCCCTCAATCGATCTTCGCGACCATCTTCCCGACTCTTTTCTCGACAATAATCTCGACGATTTGTTCGACGATGGCGTCCTCAATTTTGTAAGCATTTCTCTGCTAGCAGTGTGTTTGTTTACCCCGCGCTAACGATTTTGGTTTCATCTGCCAGAGATTCTTCTCAACTACTGGCCGCGCTGCCATCCGCTAGTATTGTCTCAACCCTTTGAATTGACCAGTTCCCGACGATCTTCTTGTCTTCGTCGGCCTCGGCCCGGTAGTGCTCATACTAAACTGGTCCCCTATCCTGTCCTGCACTATCCCCGCTACCATTCCCCTCTTGATCATCTCTCCAGCTATCCACCTCTAAACCAGTCTTCTCAACAATCTTCTCGCCTTTGCTGGCCCCGACCCGGTAGTGTACAGTCTCTACCGTGCTGAAAAACCCGATCCTCTATCCTCGATACTCGCTCCTCCGATTCACCCATATCCGCGCCAAAAGTATAGCCGGAATTAATTCACCCCGCTTTAACCCACCCGAGTTTGGTCGTTTACGAGCTAGGTATGTGTACTAGCTCGTCCCAATTCCTACATTGAAACAAAAGGAAACCAACCGCTAGAATTCTGCGGCTTCATCTTCCCGCAACCCACTACTGCGCCAGGTTTATAGGCCGCTTCCGGGAGAACTACCCGCCGCGCTTGTTTTCTTCCGGCCTCAATCTACCAGCCTTAACCTGCTTCATCGCCGATCAGCCCATCCTCGCTCTTCTCCTTCGATTCACCAAATCTTGGCCTCAATCCGCTTCCTTGCCCAAAAAGGCTCGCCAATTGAAGAAACTCGTCACTAGCCCCTGGAATTATAGTGGTTATCCTTCAAGCCCGTCTTGGATCGACCATCAAAGGAATTCAAGTCGATAAAAATGTTCATATGCGGTTTGCTGTTTCTTCCTCGGGGAATCAATGGGGTCCCCTGAAAAAATGACTTCGACTCCTCCCATTCCCAACGCCTATATAAAGGACTCGTGCTTCGCTTCAGTCTCTTCTTCCTCAGTTCCCTCAGACTTCTCTCTGTCTCGTTCCCCCATCTGTCCACTTGATCGGTCGTCCTTTTCACTTCTTTTTTCTCCCCTCCATTGTCCCTTTCCTTCTTCCTCAATCGATCTCTACATTTGAAACTCGTCCATCTCATCCGTCTATCTATCTTGCTCCCTCTGTCCACTCGATCAACCGTCCTCCTTCTCTAAACTCCATCGTCTCTTTTCTCTATGAT